AATTCGTTCCGCAGTAAACACTGCATGTTTACACGTGTATCTCTATTAGTAGTAATCAACGGTTCAATGTTTAGCTGGCAGCCGGTATCAAGTGGAGTGCCACAGGGGTCAGTCCTGAGACAGTTTTGTTCAATATCTTTGTTAATGATCTGGAAGATGGGATGAAGTGCACCCTCAGCAAGTTCATGGATGACACAAAGCTGGAGGGTGTAGTAGACACATTGGAGGGTAGGGCTAGGATTCAGAGTGACCTAGACAAATTGGAGGATTGGGCCAAAAGAAATCTCATGAGGTTCAACAAGGACAAGTGCAAAGTTCTGCACTTAGGATGGAACAATTTCATGCACCACTAAAGCCTTGGGACTGATTGGCTAAGCAGCAGCTCTGCAGAAAAGGACCTGGGGTTACAGTGGACAATAGGATGGATATGAGTCAGCAGTGTGCACTTCTTGCCAAGAAGGCTAACAGCATCCTGGCCTGCATTAATAGAAGTGTTGTCAGCAGATCAAGGGAAGTGATTATTCCCCTCTGTTCAGCACTGGTAAGGCCACATCTGGAGTACTGTGTTCAGTTTTGGGCCCCCCACTACAGAAAGGATGTGGACAAGTTGGAGAGAGTCCAGAGGAGAGTAATGAAAATGGTTTGAGGGTTGGGGCACATGACTTATGAGGAGAGGCTAAGGGAACTGGGTTTATTTAGTCTGGAGAAGAGATGACTGAGAGGATTTGATAGCAGCCTTTAACTATCTGAAGGGTGGTTCCAAAGTGATGTTCTCAGTGGTGTCAGAAGATAGAATAAGGAGCAATGGTCTCAATTTGCAGCAAGGGAAGTTTATGTTGGATAACAGGAAAAACTTTCTCATTAGAAGGGTGGTGAACCAATGGAGCAAGTTACCTAGAGAGGTGGTGGAACCTCCATCCTTGGAGGATTTAAGACCCAGCTTGACAAAGCCCTGGCTGGAATGATCTAGTTGGCGATGGTCCTGCTTAGAGCAGGAGTTGGACTAGATAACATCTTGAGGTCCCTTCTAACCCTAACTTTCTATGATTCTATTATTCTATTAGGTTGGAGTAAATTAATTAACTCCACAGCACCACAAGTATAGACAGTGACATGGTTGGCTGGGGCACAGGGGTGCCTGCTGGCTAGCCCTGCACTGGAGCACCCTTGTACCCCAGTAAGCCCCTCCACAGCATGTTGAGCTGCAGGGGAGCAGCCCTGGGCTGGCAGGCTGAACCCCCCATTCAAACAGTGCATCTGGGAGCAATAAGCTCCAGAGTTTATTGCTTCACATTAATTGCACATGTAGATGTGCTCATTGTCAATGAAGACAGTAGAATTTGGCCCACGGTGACTTATATAAGGCTTCTTTGCAGAGACAGAAGTACACTACAATCTGACATTCTTCATCTCTAATGAAACTCCTCAATTATTGGTATGCTTTTTTAACATCTATCAAATGGCGATTTAAAAGAAGAGACTGCTTAAGAACAATGGACAGAGAATGGGAATTTCATTCAATGAGAAATACACATCTTAAGGGTGGCTGTCAGGGGAAACAGATCATCGCTGTTGAAAGTCCAACTAAAATAGCTCCTTAAAGAGGTTAGCTCCTTAAAGAATTTGGAACATAAAATGCTTTAAATAATAAAAAAAGGCAGCTGGAAAATGTTAACACTTAGTTTCTAATTGAAACGCTGTGTTTTATTTTATTTCAACAAACCTTAATTTGGCTTTTTACCAAGCAATTTTTGCTCAAAATCCCTTGATGACTTTATGGTCATCAAGAAAGATCCTAAGAGAATTGACACCTGTTATTCTGTGGAAGAATACACACTGAATAAGATAAGCAGGAAAATAATGAGCTCCAATTCATAGAATAAACATTAAGTCAGAACGTACAGAATATTTAGAAGGATGAATTAATGAATGGAAAAAAAGTCTGGAAAATATTTTGTGTGGTCCAGACTTACTGATGATAAGCACAAAGCAATGTTCTCACAAAAGCCAAAAACACATGGATGGCCCACTGCACTGAGGAAACATAATGAAATATTTACAATTTTGGCATACAACTGGCAGAATCTATGCAATACCATTTCCCTGGGACCTGAAGAAAGGTCCATGCTTACCTCTTTATGAAAAGCAGTTGAATATTTATTAAAACAGCATTTTCAACACCGTTTTCTATATACAACAAGGAGTCATTAAATGGTTGAGACAGGGCCAGATGTTACAATGTAGACTGAAACATACAATTGGAATGCATACAGTTTTTACTCCTTTAAAACATGGCATAAAGAGTTCTCACAGACAGCAGTGTTGTGGTTCATCTTAGAGCAGCTTCTAACTGCAACATATTGTGTTAGATTCCATGTTGGTGTAATTGTGTATAGTTCTGCTGAAGTTAATAACACTACAATCATTTATACCCACTTAGGAATTGATTCATTGAACGTACCTGCTGAGGATTTAGGTGATTTTGGCTGCTTACAAACATGGGAAAAAAACCCCCAAAACAGCACTCTGCTGGAAAAGAAAATGCGTAGTTCAACCCAGCTCTCTAGTGTCTGTATAGATTGTGCACTTCAGCGGGGCTTTTTGGCGCTTTTATCTAATAGCTGATTCAATTGGCTATTAGATAAAAGCGCCAAAAAGCCCCGCTGAAGCACACAATCTATACAGACATTGGGCAAGCTAGGTCAAACTAGCACAATGCCTCTTTTGGGCATGCACTGCACTTGGTACAGGCTTGGGCTGAGCTTAAAGTAAAATGCTGATTTGGGGGGTTTTCTCACATCTGTAAGCAGACTATATCTCTTAAACTTGAGGACCCTAAGCATTTGATAGTAAAAGCAATTGGCATAATAAATGCATGCTATTTCTACCTTGGGTATGCTGGTGTTTTTTCCTCCTTCCTATGCCTATTCTTCAGAACTTAACATTGTAGAGTAGGTAATATCTGTATATTGTCTATATCTGAGCACAAGTAACAATTATATTAAATATTCTATAGTCATTTTGAAATACATTAAAAAACAACTCAGATTTTGTGCTCATGTCACAATCCTTAGTTTGAACTTCAGGCACTGAATAAATAAGTTGAGGGAGTTAGGCCCTTAGTTTGGCATTTTGGCTTTTAGGGTACCTAAAGATGTACCTCACATGCAGTGAGGCTGCTCTGATGGACCTCACATGCAGTGAGGCTGCTCTGATGCACTGTAATTACAGCGCAGCAGAGCAGACTCAGTTAATTGAGTCTGCAGGAGCATAGCAATTACCCTGCCCCAGCAGACTCCAGCATCATGTGCATCAGCATCCCCATGCTGAAAAATGGTGGTGGGGGTGCTTTAATCGAAACTCATTCGACAAGCTTTAGTTAACGTGCCCCTGCTGCTGATTTTCAGTGTGTGTGGGGGGGGTCTCAGAACCACTCTACTTAAAGTGTTCCCCACCCCCAACACACACACTCCTGGAGCACATGTATAAAAGCCCTTCATGACTTGTATCATAAGGATTGGCCTTTAGGGAAATAATCTTGTGTTAAATTTCATTTTATAAAAATAAGCAAGTGAAGAAATGACATACAACATTTACACAGAATACTGTCAATATGGAGTCACACTTTTTGAATGTACATACTCGTGACACCTAACTAGAGTCCTCTGGAAACTGACTTCTGGAGCTACAAACACTCTTTTATCAAACTAAGCATTTGCTGTGAGGTTATATACAATCTGAAACTCCATTTCCTCTAGCTTATTTCAGCTAGTGGCATCAGAACTTTTATTAATGCTCCTGTTGTCCCTTTGGCAGTTGTGCTGATATATTATTTTTCAAGTATTTTAAAAATATTTGTCTAGTTTAATTTTAAAATGTAACAGCTGAACAGTGCTATTAGGAGCTATCAGAGCTGCGTCATTTAGGTCAGGCCACCAGCTTGTTGGCCTCTATTAGGGACCAATTCATTGGCTCTGTCTTGAGTTTGTTGAGTTCAATGGCTCTGTACTGAGTTCTGCTGAGTTTGCTTTTCAGCCTTCTGGCTAGGATCAAGGGTACTCCAGCACATTGTTTGAATCTTGGAAGAAAACCAGACCTAAGTGCTGGCTATCTTACAAAAGCAAGATATTGGTTTTAGTAGTCCAATAAGATGCAGCACAGTCTAAAATGACTCCAGCTTTCCAGGTGAGTAAGAACTATGGGTCTCATCTCTGGGAATCTCTGAATAAGGAGTCCTTGAAAGCACCTTAAGCTGAGTCTTGCAGTATGGCTAAGCTGATACCCATTCTTAGTACTAACTGAAATCCAGAACTAAGAGGATCCAAGAAGGCAAAAAATAGGAGGACAGAGAGGATTCAGATCTGTCTCTTATTGTTTTGGCATTAAAAAAAACTAACTCTGCTTACACATGTTAAAAAAACCAACCCTCCCCCCCCCCAAAAAGTGCACTTTACTGGACGAAGCAGTACATTACTTCAACCTGGCTCTGCAGCATCTGTATAGATTGGGTGCTTTGCTGGGGCTTTCTGGCAGGCTTACCTAAAGCTGATTCAATCAGCTATTAGATAAAAGCACCAAAAAGCCCCATTAAAGTGCCTGATCTACACAGACATCCAGCAAGCCAGGTCCAACTAAGACACTGCCTCTTCTGGGCACGTTCTGGGCTCAGCACAGGAATGTAATCAATTTAAGTAAAGCACTGCTTTTTTTAACATCTGAAAGCAGCCTTAGAGGTCACTTTTTAAGAGGAATGTTTTACAAAGTTTTTTAATAACTTCATTCACTGCTTATGGCATCAGTTATCGTGTTAGTAAAATCTTGACAGTGTTCATGAAAGATACGAAAAGGTGATGTGTGGCAATTACACATTGTGAGGAAAATGTATCACCTATTGCAGAAAATATGAAAAACAAAGGCCAAATATTTTACTTGATCTCATATTGCATACACTGTCCTTTCACTTTGTGCAAATTCAGTGTAAAAGAATATCCTGCTCTTACCTAGAGCTGCCCTTTGCATGTGGCGCTGGGTTATCTCTTCTTTCAGATGGTCTGTGAAAAACACAAATACAAATGGTTAAAGAGGTTTCAAACTTTCATAGACTTACAAAGTCATTAGTTGCCTCGCACTATTTGAAGTTGCCCATGCAGCTAGCAAAATTAAGGGTACTTCCTATGGAGTCCACAGGGGAGGAAATGGCTGTTGGAGCTCTCTCCCACTTGTCTAATGCAACTAAACAGGAGCAGACATGATTTGGCCCTGTATATCCTAAATTTAACTTTATTCAGTACGAAAGAGTGGAAATTAAGCCGTCTCCTTTCAGTGAAGTCAAGCACTTTCACAGGATAATGATCTCCTGCTGTTAGATACAAGAGAAGGCCAAGGAAGGCAGAAGACAGATAGAATTCCAAGTATTCATTCAAACAGACTTGTAGACGCTAGAGAAGGAAAGGAGCTATTAGGTCATCTAGTCCATCTCTTTGCCAGTACAGAATTGGTTCCCTGCAGAACCTTTTTTCATGTTTTGTCCAGCTCAATATTAATGTCCCATGTGATAGAGCTTCTGCAGCTTCCACTGCTTAACACATCTCAGGGTCAAGATGTCATTAATATAAACTCAGAATTCCCCATTACTTAATTGCATTATCCCATTACTCCTAGTTATGCTCCCATGCCCTACACAATTTCCTTCACCCTTCTGTTCTTAAGTTCGCCCTTGATCCCGTGACACTGGTGTGGTTCGCCAACTATATCAAACCATAATTAGATTACCAGATGGATAATCATTGCTCATTGTTAAAAGCTGAACCAATAAAAGGAAAAAACACAACAACAAAAGCACAAAAACAAAAATATACAACTCCAACAAGTATGCCTGTTCTGAGAACAAGAAGGGATAATTTCTCTTCTTGGGATTCCAGATTAAATTGATTTCTAAACAGAGCGCCCACCCTGCTCGAACTGCCTCAGCACCTTGGCACCACCCCAGAGCGCCATGAGGTTATCAACTTCCTCCTGGGTCCAGTTGGGGGCCTGGGCAGTCAGCATGGGCATGCAGGGCCAGGGCTCGATGGAAAGGGTGGTGAGGACATGATGTCCTGCACCAGCTCTCTGGGTCCCTGTGCAGCTGTCCCTGTGATATCAGCCCTAGATAGCTGCCAGCAGTGCCCAGCACAGGGGCACAGCCAGGGACTGGGAGCTACACCACAGAGACACTTCACCACAGGATCTACAAGGTCAGGAGACAGTGCTGGGAGTGAGCAGCAGCAGGGAGCAAGTGCTGGCCCTGCTGGGGGGACTTCTGTGTGGTGTGCCCCAAGGGAAAAAACGGATGCAGGCTTTTATAGCCTGCAGTTAGGGGCTGCCGGAGAGCCAACCCAGCCCTGGGGCAGAAGAGACTCCCAGCCAGAAGCCCTGGGGCTGGCCTCAGGCTGGCCCCCTAGTGGCAGGGCAGACACAGCACTAAACTTAATGCCAGGTCACATCTCCATGTGCATTAGTGCACATTAACTAATTGTGACTAAATTTGATACCTGCATTTGCAGGTATCAAATTTAGTCATGATTAGCCATTTTTACTGTGCAGTAAGGGTGTGCATGTGTAGACATGCACCCTTATTGCACAGTAAAGTAGGCTAAGGTACATTAACATGTCTTGTATAGACATGCCCAAAGGGCACTTTTATACGTGGTCAGGGGAGCAGGGTGGTGCTTTAATAAGTGTGGCTCCAAGAGTACACTAATAAAAGTGCTGCAGTGTCTTGTGTCGTAGCATCCTCACGCTTCAAAATGGTGGCAGAGGCACTTGAACTAAAGCTCGTTCAACTAGCTTTAGTTAAAGTACTCCCGCTGCATTTTTAAGCTTGGGGACACCAATACATGAGACATGGAGGCTGGCTGGTATGTGGTAATTACCATACTCCAGCAGTCTTGGTTAATCATGGATGCTAGATTAATTGAGTCTGCTCCAACGTGCTGTGTACAGGCACCCAAGGTTCCTTTTAGCCAACAAAACCCCAGGTTTAAATAAGCTGAATGACCAACACAGTAACACTAGCTCCCTGAGTGATATAACAAAGATATTTTAAAACTAATTCATTTAGAAACGAAGAATTCAGCTAGCAGTACTCTACTCCATCTATCCCAAACTGATTACAGGGATGAACACTTTCAGCACATATGATTGTACAAACTTTGATATTAGTTACTAAGATAAAAATAACACTTAGACTAGAAAAAATGTCCTTAACACTATCAGTAGCAGATGTGTCCCACACCTGGACACGAAATATGGCTAAGATCAGTCAGGTTTGGTGTAAACTTAATAATTTGTTGGTATAACTATTTTACTGTGTCTTTTTTAAACCAAAATATTTATACCTGGAGTGTGAACACATTTACACTGCTTATACTGTTATAATGATGATTTAATCCAGGTCTACAGTACATTTTTTTCTGGAATACTTATTTCAGTCAGGGGCATGATGAAGTGTGATTTATGACCACATATCCATACTGGCAAAACCATACTTTCACTAATATAATTTATTCTGCTGAGGAGCAGATAAGGGAGGGGAAAATTGTGTGGGTGGCTGGAAAGTTCAGTTTTGCTGCTTTAAGCTGAGTCCATCCTAGGAGAATTTTACCAGCGTGGCATACTAACTATACTGGCCAAAACTTCCAAGTGCAAACCTGGCTTTATATTGACATAGTTATTTCCCTTATCTATGGGAGTAGGTATATTATTTAAACGAGTCCTCATTCTAATATAACTGTGCCCATTCTAGAAGGTTGTACCACTTCAACTGGTATAGATAAAGTGGTACAACTTTTGAGTGTAAAGAAGTCTTCAGACAACCAGTAACAGCTGGAATAGATCATTCTTTCTTGTGTACCATAACTCCAAAAGTGAAGCCAACAGGGGAATAAGAGCCTACCTTTTAATATATAATGATAAAGGAAATGATAAAGGAAATGTTGCCAAGAACTGCAGGACTGGCCTTTTATGCAAGTCTTTTTTGATTGGGTTTCTTCCTCTGTCACAAGAAAAGGGGTTGCATTCATCTGAGTCCTGGAGTCCAGATAGTACACGGCTTTTCAAAACAGCAAGTTTAACTTCTCTCCAATTAGCAGAAAACTTTCTGAGGAAGATTCTAGCCTGGCCAAAGTCTTTGGTCCCAAGGGCTGAAGGGGAACATGATGACACAGGCAAACACAGGTAAAAGTTGAGCAAAGCCAATTTGGTTTGACAGACTGAAATATTTCAATTTGAGCTGCTTCCACCTGAAACTAGTTTCTGACAAAAATTGAGATTTTCTATCAAACGTTTTTGAAGAAGATACTCTTTTAGTTTTGTTTTCATTGACATTTTCTGTGGGGGAAACCAGTTCTGACCAGCTCTACTTATAACTCCTTTCAGGGCACAGGTTACCCTGAGGCCAGCTTGAAAGTCCATTAGTGACAGAATTAGGGGACAATTGCAGCACTGTTGCCTGTATAGACCGTTTTATGTAAACAAGCAGAAGACTTCAGCCCTCAGTACTGCCAGTTCTATAATCTTCACAAATACAAATATTTATCTGAAGAAAAATGAAGACTCACATACTTGCACAAAAATGAGTCTCTTGATCCCAGTAGTGTAAAGCTGTGGACAAGGTAGCTCTTAAATGTGGTTTGCAAAAACTGAATTTAAGACTTGGCGATCAGCTCTCTCCATATGGCTAATTATGTTTCTGAAGTCTCACCAAACAAGCAGCTAATAATAGCTGTGCAGCTGATACCAAATCATTTTTTCCAGTGGAGTCATTCTTCATTTGGAGATAACAGTCCCAATAAAATGTTGAATGCTGCAACTCCACATGTTTTGGCAAAAAAGCAGTTTTGGGGAATTTAAGAATTCACTCAGCATGCAGTTAGCTGTCATTAGAGCTGTGATAAATCTGTTGGTTTTGGCTTGTGTTTCTGGACACATGTACCATCCTGAGGTATGGAAAAGATGAAATGGTAACAGAAACCTCTAGCCTTGTGACAAGAGACAAAAGGCATGGAGAAGACAAAATAGGAAGCCAAACAGGGAATCATAATGAGGAGCAAGGGAATGCATCTTATGCAAGAAAGCTGCTAATTAAACTTTATAATCAGTGTTTTAAATAGTATAACTCCTTTCAGATTACATATCATTAATAAGCAACTAGTATGAAACCAAATCATTCCAAGTTCTGCCTCAACATCCATTTTGAGCAGTTCCTGTCATTAAATACTTGCAGAACTTGATAGCACTTCTCACTGATTAAAAAAGAATGGTTTCAGCTTGGATGTGTAGGAGTTTGAACACAATACCAAACACGTAAAATCTCAGCTGAACTGCAGAATTATGTATTCCTGCAGACTGAAGCTAGGTACAGACATTACACCTATCTAGCTTTAAGCAGGCAGAAAGTGCTCGAAAGCTGTCACAGCTCTTAGGGCATTTATACACATCCCTTTTGTCCCATGATGTGCCAGATATCCGCCACTTCAGAGCAGACTTGACATGTGTAAAAGTGCCCTTAGAGCGCTTAAAAAATGGCAGATCATCACTTCACAAGAGAAGGCTGAGGGGGGACCTGGTGACCGTCTATAACCTCACTAGGGGGGACCAGAAGGGTTTGGGACAGACCTTGTTGCCCCTAGTGAGTAGGTTTAGATTCGACATCCATAAGAACTACTTCACTGTCAGGGCAGCCAGGGTCTGGAACCAAGTTCCAAGGGAAGTGGTGCTGGCTCCTACCCTGGGGGTCTTTAAGAGGAGGCTTGATGCCTACCTAGCTGGCATCATTTGAGCCCAGTTTTTCTCCCGCCCAGGCGGGGGGTTGGACTTGAAGATCTACAAGGTCCCTTCCGACCCTACTTCTATGATTCTGTAATTCTGTGATTCTATGATCATGCTCTAAGTTAACCCTTGATGGATGAGGTATTAGATTAAAGCACTTTGCTAGAACGCTTTATTGAAGGTCTGTGCTAGATCCCATTGAGGATTAACATAAAGTGCAATCACTGCCAACCCAGGTGGT